CGGGACGATCGCCCGACTCGGGTCTCCTGAAACTGAAATTAAACACGTTTGTTTTTTAGGCGACCGATCCCATCCGTAGTTGGCACCCCGTATTATAATTATTATAATTACACTGTCCACGACTGTATTTGAAATGGCCAAGCTACAGCCGTGCCTTAGAAATCAATATCGGGATTCTTTTTCGGTGACAAAATGAAAACGGTGACTACCGTCAGGGGGAAGAAATGGGGGATCTACAGAGACGGGTGCTATTATTATATGATATCAGTCGTACGGCTGTATCAGGATGTATCGTTCTAGACTAAGGAGCAGATGGCCCTAGTTTGAATCCCCAACAACTTGGCGTTTTGAACTTGGGTTGTTTCGGGGGGTTTTTTACGGCTCCTTTCGGGGATGGACGTTAAATTCCAGGGTCATGCCTCTTAAAAAACCCAACAAAAGCACAGACTTACAGACAGCGTTGAAAGGGACGTCAAACCTATACAGTTTTGCAACCCTGCCCCCACCCCTCCCCCCTCTTCCCCCACATATTAAAAAACAACAACTAGTGTATCAGGCTGTTGGAGTAGTAGTATAGAGTTTTAAGTCTCTGGTGTGATACCCTGCTTAGACATTGCTTCAGAACGCATTATTGCGGTAGACTGTCAGGTTTCTACTGCTACTCCTTGGCTCCTTCTTACTGCTGACTTACTGCCACACCCCTGATTTTATGGTAGGTAATATCTAACACATAGCCTTCTCGGCTAAGGTAGAAATATCTCTGAAGTTTCGTGTGCAAATGCGCATGTTAAAGACAAGGTTTCGGCCGCCAACCGGGCAAAATTCAAAATTCAATTTTCCTACCAAACTAAATATGTTTAAAGTGTCCCGTCCCGCGCGCCCATATGACCATAATATGCTGCTGCAAGCGCCGTAATACACTCACCAAAACAAAACAAAGACTATCAGGTAGACGGAGGTCAGTCCGGCAGGGCTGACGGTAGATCGCATTATCGCGGGAGACCTCATTATCACGGTAGACCGCCTTATCACGGTTGACCGCATTATTGCGGTAGACCGCATTATTGCGGTAGACCTCATTATCACGGTAGACCGCATTATCACGGTAGACCGTCAAGTGGACCGACGATCTACCAAGGAGTTTAGAACTAATGGAGCCTCCTCTCTCTCTTCGCTGCGCCACGAGCAGTACGCCGCGGTGGGGATCACATATGGCGGCCGACTGTGGGCTAAATCACAAACTGTGGCGTTTCTTTTTATAGAATCTTATCAGGCTGGGCCACGTTGTGGGGGTGGGCGGGGTGGGGGAATGCACGCAGGGAAGAGGGGATGAGGCTGGGATGAAAAAGGAGGGGCGGGCCTTGGGAAGG